AATTCGACTTTTACTAAATACATACGGATTCCAGCTTTCTCATCCGTGAAGTGATTCCCTACACAGTAAATACCATTTAGAAGGAAAGCTGCAGAATACATAGTGCAGGTCCTCTATTTCACAGTCAAGATGACTCAGCCTCATACAGAAACCTCACTCCATAATCTTCTGCAAAATTAGCACCAAATTCTGGCAGACCAGGTTTTTGTTGCTAGGGAGAACAGTTGCCAGAGAAACACGTGAGAGGGTCAACACTGATAGATAAAGAAAAAGCATAAATGTCGAGCACTCTGTATTTATTACTTTCACCTGCATTCCTAACCTGTCTCTCACGGTCTGTTATCATTACCTCCCTTTTATTTCTCACATAAGACTCTCAGGGCCCATGAAGAATGCTAATAACAAAATTGTATGTCTTAGTTTAGACTGCTATAACAAAATACCATATACTGGGTGGTTTAAATGACAGACATTTATTTTTCACAGTTCTGGACACTGAGAAGTTCAAGATCAAAGTGCTGGCAGACGTGGTTCCTGGTGAGGGTTCTCTTCCTGGTTTGCTGATGGCCACCTTCTTACTGTGTGCTTGCATGACAGGGAGAGAGAGAGGAGCAAGAACTCTGGTGTCTCTTAAGGGTACTAAAACTATTATGAAAACCCCACCTTTATGATCTCATCTAAATGTAATGACCTCCCAAAGGTTTCATCTTCAAATACCATCACGTTGGGGGTTAGGGCCTCAACATATGAATTTGGGGGGATCACAATTCATTTCATAGCATTGTACCTATTCAGCAGTATCCCTTTGAGAGTTATGTCCCAGCACTGTGTCATGTTCTCATAAGCATGGGTTGACTTAGTCCTTATTATATAGCTGAGGGAACTGGGCCTAGTTCATTAACTATACTAAGGTTAATTATACTGGGGGGCTTAAATGACAGACATTTATTTCTCACAGTTCTGGACACTGAGAAGTTCAAGATCAAGGTGCCAGCAGACGTGGTTCCTGGTGAGGGTTCTCTTCCTGGTTTCCTGATGGCAAATCAGTAAGTTGTCACAGAGCTAGGATTTGAGCCCAGGCAGTCTGACTGTAAATCCCCAAAATCCTAATTCCCTCCTTATATTGCCTCAACCAGAGGAACAGTCGTTTTGAAACCTGATTAACTGAGTTCAGGAATTGTCACACTTTTATGGACTGGGTATAGAAGTGCTCCAAATATTAATTAAACGGATTCTTTTGATAACTGCTTA